TTCTTTTTTCAAGAAAATATTGATATAAGTTTTAATTTTCTCAATCAAAAGATTAAAACTGAAAAATCGAAGAAATGGATGATATGGATCCTTTTGTTTTGATATTGCAGAAAGCTTCATTCTTAAAGGCTACAAGAAAGAAAATCAGAATACAATAAATACTACATATTGTGCTTCTAATCCTGCCAATGGTATATATTTTAAAAGAAGTAGAACATTAGTTTTGCCTCCAGAAACCAAAATGTAGGAATTTAAATCTATATTATTCCATTCTAAATAATATAATACAATACGAGTGATAAGTACATGCAAATTATCTTTCCTAATACTAACAAATTCACTTTTGTTAGATATTATAGAAGCTTTCAATATTTCCTTATAATTTTCACACAACTGTGCACAAATAAGATGATACAACAATAATAGCTTCTTTAGTTCAGGATTCTCAATTCTCTTTAGTCAAACTCCTGGGCAACCAAAGCAATGCATCTCATGCCAAACACTCTCCTCTAATCTTCCTTTACATTCTTCTATTCCATAGTATTCTTTTTAAAATAGCCACATCTCAGTTAAACATCTTTTCCTACGTATATCATGATTTGTGTTCATTTTTGTTTTTCTTTATGCCTCTAAGTTTATTTCCTCCAACTAGATTTCCCACCCAGCAATAAATATATGGTGTCACTTTCCAAGATTTTATAGCAGCGAAGGAATCTTAGTTGCAGTAAATTATACAACATATAGTAGTTAAATATGATCTGAAAAAAATCTTATGCCAATGTCACCAGTATGAATTTTCTTTATTTTATTAAACATATTTACATGGCTTCCCAACTCACACACAGTGACTCCAGGTGTTTACAAGATTAAAAATCCACAATCTAAATTCCATAAACTTTGATAGAATTGGGTGAAATTTAGATGGAGGACTACTTTATTTTTGACACTTTTCATAGTTGGATTTCAAAAGGCTGCCTGGTGTACTTTAACTACAGTCAGTAAAGCGAACATTTTAGTTTTTTTACTATTAGACATTTTGATAAGTTTACTGAAAATTCAGTGTGCCAGAAATGTAATGCATCTATTTTACTGTCCAAAATGTCAAAGATAAAACAACAAAAATATTGCAGAATTTAAATGCTTTTAATCACTGATTTCAGTAATGCATCCTGAAAGTCACAAAACCAGGTTGGGGGCACAGGATGCTTGCCCAAAGTTTTAATGCCTTCATAGATTGTAAATTAATGACTAGAAGAGAGTAGATCCTGTTTTATCAGCTTACTAAATCTGCACATTGATCATTTAAGAATATCACATGCATTTTTATTTCATAAGGCTTCAGAACAACTGTCTAATTTAATTCAATATTGAACATACTACCTCATTGGAGGAAGATTCTGGAAAAAGTCTTTCTATCACTTCTGCAGCCTCCTGAAAATATCCTTTTTCCATATATATAGCGACTGCCTACAAAGAGACAACTTTTAAGTAATGACTTCCATTCTTTATAACAAATCTGGGAACAAAAAAACTTATGAAATTTAATGTTATGATCACCTCTACTATTCCCTCTAGCAACTCATCTTGATGTATGGTGCCATAAAGCATTTACTTTGTTCTTCTCCTTCAGCACAAATGGAGACATCCACCATCCAAATAAATGTTTCACTAATTCCATTAACTGGTACGGAGGACAGGAAAATCCTCCTCCACTGCTATTACTAAGAACTCTTACAGACAGGGTCATTTGTTGGGGACAGCTTCATCCCTTCCCTGCTTGATTTTCAGTGTGACTACAGGAGTTTCTGCATGTAAAGTGAATCAAGCAATATTGATAATGGTAAAAAAAACATGTTTGGCCTATGGAATGGAGCAGATGATGATGATTGCTACTCCTGTATCTCCAGCTGCCTTAGTGTAATAACTGGAACTGATCCTAGAAGTATCTTATTCAACACTTTCATTTCCCATATTTCCCTTGTGCTAGTCTCTCCTATGCTTTTTGGCTATCCAACACGACTAATCCAAGTACACAACTCTGCTCTTATTTTCCACAACTGGCTAGAGTTTCTGCAGTAAGCTTTTCATTCCTTTTTACTGCCACAGGCTATAAATGGTCATGAGATTTCATGCTGCTGCCAATTAACTGTAAACTCATGTAAATGTGTAAATTCCCAAGTGAATTTTAAAGATGCAAGGATGGATTTAATGAAAACAAAGAATCATCTTTTGTATTTTGTGAATGGTAGAGTTTCCATGGAAATTATTGTGGGGATAGCCTATACATGATTGTTTTGAAGTAGTTTCTAACATAGGAATAAAATCCTTAAACTATTAAACATTGTCTGCCCTATTTCAATTTATAGCATGAAAATTTTGATCTGATCCATGAGAAACTACAAATTTCTAGATTTTCTTGCATGACATTCCAAATCAAACTAAATATATTGATCTACAAACAAACCTGAATCTGAATTAAGTTCTTGATTTCTTTATGCAATTTATCTTGTTCGCTTTGTGTTTTTAGGAATGAAATCCAAACCGACAAAGCATTTTCCAGTGGTGAAAGTGTTTGGTCATCTCCAAAATCAGAATCTTAAGAGAAATGAAAAGAAGTAAAAATAGCAGCGAAGTATTTTAAAGATAAAAAAATTAAAACTTCCATATAGAAAATATATCAGTCATTATACTAGAAGTCAATTTCTTCCTTTGATTTTTGGTTCACAGAAGAAAGCTTGCTTAATAGAGATAATCAACTATTCAACCGAGGTGGTTAGGAAGATGATTGAACAACCTTAGAAAATCTCTGGTTTGAAAGGGTACCCCTCAGGTGCTTTTTAATATCATGTTACACAGAGCCTGGTCAAACACCAAGCCAAACTGTGGATATAACTTACAAATCAAATAGCAGAGAATAAAGATCCTTTAAATTTTATTTTGCTACTCATTGTTAACAGTATTTTAAAAACTACAATAAACTATCTAGTGTCCTCAGCTCAGAGCAATAGTGCTAAACAAGGTAAGTGTTTATACCTGATTAAAGACAACATGAACTTATATTAAATGCATTATTTTACAAGATTAGCCCTACAACTCTCTATATTATTTTTCTTTGAGCTAGGAATTCAAGAACCATAGCAGTCTATTCAAGCAATCAGGATAATATATTTTTTGTAACTTTAAAATGGACTTTATTTAAAATGGAAGAATTAGCAACAGTAATCACTATATCAAAATTGTGCTCACAGACTGTAATTCCTTAAGACATTACAAAAACTGTGATATACAATCAATCACATCAAGAACTAATGCCTAGTCTCTAGCCAAAAACTTATGTAGCCTAGCTTCTTCATCTTTTGCCTCTATATGTTCCATTCTGACATCAAATGCACACTTCTTGGACTAGGTTTATGAGTGCACAGTATTTGTGGAGTTTATATAAAGTTACTGGTTAAGTAGTAAGTTGGCAAGATATACTCACTATTAGCCTATCAAGGTTAAGGATAACTTGTTTATAAATACTAAAATATCCTGCTGACTTGAAGCTGCCACTAGTATGGAGCCAGATAAGAAACACAAGGCCATATTTCAGAAAGCATGTGGTTTGTTGCTATCAACTTGCCAAATTTTTGGGTCTCTTTTGCTTTTATTAACAGTGGTTGTTTCTAATAATTTTAATTTATATTTTAACAATTAAAGATAAATGACAGATACAAATGTGTAGACTGTTTGTATATATTTTTGCAAGAGGCATTTTTGGTTAAAAGAACATACTTTTCTATAAATAAGCAAAGTTAGCATTAGATTGCCAGTATCTAACTGAGAATTCTCGCCAAAGCCAAAGCTTAAAATATTTTACCAAATATGCAACCTTCGGCAATACATGTCAGCAGCTGACAGAGGCACACTGTTTCCCTTTGATGAGTTTCTATTTTGTCCAACCCTTTAATAACAGCTGAAAAAAGAAAGCAGACGTATCAGTTATGATTTTGCTCCTACAGTGCCACTGTGTGGTTATCAGTGACCTTGTCTATAATACTAAATAGAATTTACTCCCAAATAATTGTATTTAGGATTGGAACATTTCAGAGCAGTTTATACTGAATACTTTATACATGCTAGTTAGTAAACAATTAACTCGTCTGTCCTCCCCAATATGACAATTTGAAATAGTTATTTTGGTACCCTAGACACTACTGCTTTATACTATAAATCACTAATGAACATCAATGAAGAGAGAAAATAGAACTCTTCAAATATTTGTCATTCTGTAACAAACACCTCAAAATTTACAAATATTTACAAATATTCAACAGAAATGATTGAAATTGTGATAAAAATGGATTTCTTCATTGCAATTGAAAGGTGCCTGGGGAAAAGGGTTTATGGATTGTTGACACCTTGTAAGACAGAGGCAGCCACATATGCAAACTTGCTCCGAGAAACGATTCTTTTTAAAAAGCAGCACATTTATAACTAAATAAAGCAAAGAAGTGTAAAAATCGAGAAAGCCGAAGAGGGAGGAAACAAGCAGCTTCTAATAGTCTGCTGGCACCAGCACCAGCAAAGGGGCCACAACTCCAGCCTCCCACATCCCGTCAAACAGGCAATTACTCAGCGCCAGGTCTCTGCTCCTCTCGAAGTCGATCTGGTTGCCCTCGCAAAAATGGCGGCACAGGCAGCGGCAGGCAAAATCCAGCATCCATCCAGCGGCTATCGACTCCACTTCAGCGAAGAATGCCGAAGAACTGCCCTCTGGGGTGCCACGGTCCACAAAGTCCGCCTTCGCTGTCGTCCGTGGCATGGAAGTGACATAGCTCGCGATAGTTAAATCACTTCTCCGCTCCATTTTCAAATTTCTCGTCCCGCTTTTCCAAACTCCGCCCACTTATGACAAGGATCCTGTCACGACATGCTCCGTTCTTGGCCACGCCCTCCCTCCGAGCGATTGGTCGACGCGTACCCTTCTTTCTTGTCGCGTGCCTTGTGCGCGCTTTTGCCTCCGTGGAGGAGGAGAAAAAAATCGGGAGCGTTCTCTGGGTCCCGCTTGCGGATTCTGTTGCGAGGCGAGTGGAAGCAGCAAGGATCGCACGGTCAGCTCAGCTTAAATCTCTCCCTCTTTTCCCGCATTAAACAATTGCAATTTATCACGTCTCTCGGATCGCAGAATGAAACGCGAAAGTTTACATGAGTGTTTTTCAAGTTTGACTTTTTTTAAATTCTCCAACCAGTATGCTGACTGAGGAATTATGGGAAGTGAAGTCCACGCACCTTAGAATCATACGACTGGAAGGGACTTGGGAGGTCTTGTAGTTTAACTCTCTGCCAAGGCAGAATTTAACCTGGAAGATTCAACTTGGAACTAAGAGGAATTTCCTGACAGATGATTGTCTAATCTTTTCTTGAAAACCTCCGGCAATGAACACCCGCAACTCTGGGAACAAAACGTTCCATTGTTGTTGTTGTTTTAACTGTCAGGAAATTCCTCTTAGTTCCAGGTTGAATCTTCTTCTGACCAGCTTCCAGCCTTGCTTCTTATCCTGCCCTTAAATGCTATGGAGAATAAATCGACCCCCTCTTCCCTGTTACAGCTCTTTAAGTATTGGAAAACTGCTATCATGAAGAAAAGCACTGATTTACACTGTACATGCATGTTCCCTTCGTTTCCTAAATCGGTTTATCTTTGCTTCTAACATTTTAAAGAGTGTATACCGTGATCTCCACGCGCACATTTCTAATCCCTATCCTGGGAAGGCTTGACGGAAGGGACTGGCTTAAAAATCACAAAATGAACGATAATCCTGAAAGTTTGGAAAGTAAAGCCCTTTGGCGATAGAGTGAGTTATAAACTAGCCAACTTCAGAGCATTTTAGTGACCGGGGCGAACTTAGCCTGCTGCCTAGTAGAAGGTTTGGTGTGTCATGGGAATCGGTACACGGGGTTGGGTAAACCATATAAAATGAACCGAGGAGCCACTACGAACGCAGTAAGCCCGTCCATTTGTTCTGGAAAGAGCAACGACTTGATCTCAGTTCAAATATTCCTCACGATGCTGTGGGAAGCATTAATAATTCAGGAAGCAGCGGACACGCGAGGAGCGTAATTGCGCTTCCTGAAGACATTATAGCCTTTTAGGGATGAATGTTTTCCTGCCTTTGTGCCGGCGGGATAGGGGCATGGGGGTGGTCTCACGTTATACTTTCCTTTTTTGGAGGGAATTGCACAAAGAAATCGCGGTAGCGCAAGTCAACGGTGGGAGAAGATCTTTGAAGGTCTGATCCTGGGCGAGGCTGAAATAAGATCACAGAAAGGGCTGAAATGCGCGGAAAATGTGAGTGCACCTAGAGAAGGCGGAAAGATGTTGTGGCATCCCTTTCGGTCCCACGATTTCCCTTACTGGAGATCGTGTGCTGAGTGTGCTGTAAATAATTAAGTGCAAAGGATAAATGGACTATCAATGTACTGATCCCGTGGAATTTCTGCTATGTCCAATGACTGTCATTCTAATAAACATTTAATTTTAATCCATAGAATGGTCTTACATGGTGTGTTTTTTTTAAGCAATGCTCAGTCAAGATTAGCAACCTCTTTCAATTGTTTCCAGACATTCAGCATTAACATGTGATGATGATTACTACTGTACATGAACATTTATTTAGAGAGAAGTTTTAATAATTTGAAAATACAGTCTTCTCTCTTAAGGTTCATTACAAAGTGATTCCTTGGGAATCCTACGATTTAATAAAGTCTTTCTCTCCTATTATTTATAATATATTTCTTTCCGAAGGCTTCCGAAGGCTCTGTGTGCTTGTCTCCCCCCCCCCTTATTATTGGAAGAAATCCTATTCTTTATAATGATATGGTTTCACTATAAGGAGGTTCATGATATTTTCAAGAGATAAAAATTGGCAAGGACACCAATTCTCCACTTGCCTACAAGCCTTTTTCTGACAACTACATCTCTATTCCTAAACTTGGAAATAAGTTGAATAAATGAAATCTTTTTTGTGTAGGAAGAGAATGTTAACAGAAAAACCAAAGGTTAGGCTGCATAACAGCTAATGCACCTGGGGTTGTTCTGTGGAAAATAAGAGGCAGAAGCATTTGGTATACAATGGTTGCTTATAGTTGGAAATTGAGACTGGGAACTCTGTCTGTAGGTGATGCAGTTGTAATCCATGAGGTCATGTGACTGTGCCCATTTATGACAGCAGTTCTGGCAGTCCCAGTTGCTGTTGTCTGATGGATTCTGCATGGTCGCAGTCATGTGATCACTATTTGCAACTCTCCTGCTGGATTCCTTATTGGCTTGTTTTGTCATAAGTCTGCTGTGAAGGATGCAAATGGTGTTCACTTGATTACAGCATACCACAATGTCATAATTGTGAGCCAGGTGCCAAGTGTACAAATTGTGATCATGTGAACACAGGAATGCCATAACAACTGCAAGTATGAAGACCCAACATAAGTTCCCTTATTCAGTGCCATTGTAACTTTGAACAGTCACTGAACAAGTAGACATTAAACGAGGACTATCTGGATATTAAAAGGGCAGGATAACAATATAATAATAATATTTTATTTTAGTAAAAATGTTCAACAGCATAATTTTTCAATATTAAAAAAATCTGTTTTAGGAAATCTACATTGTACCCATTCCTCAAGTAAAATAAAATAAAAACATGAAAACATTGTTATTTTACAATTGTTATGTGCCGTCCACCATTTCTTCTTTCTTGTCTCTCATATCGATTAGATTAGCTTCATAATCTCTTGTCATTTTTTATACTTCAGTTAGTATTTATTTATTAAATTGTTATTCTATAAATATAGTAAATAGTATTTGCTTTTCATTGTGAGTAATTTATTTGCCACAAACATGTTGATATATATTCTGCTTCATACAGGTTTTTCCCTATGTACTGATCTAATAAAATATTTAGGGTCAGGTGTACTTAAACCTGAGAAACAAACAAACAAGCAGCCATGGGACTAAAAATCATGGAATACTTACTTTTTGTATAAAAAGTGATTCCTACTGAATATACAAAAACAGCAAATCTTGAGAACATAAAAAAACAGGCCCAGATGAACAGAACAATCCTAGAATAAACCCCAGTTGACTTAAATTTCCATCAAGGTTTTGTATTATGAACAAAAGCATTAGGTATTTGTTTATTTATTTAATAATTGTATATGGATGCCCATTTCAGGAAACTGGTAGTAACAGTTAAACATAATAAAAACATAATAAAACAACAGAAATAATATAAAATAACATAGCTGCTGTGAATGTAACTATGACAGAGAAGAAAACACTACCATTATACATGAAGGATAACTTCTCTGGTCTATTGAAGAGGAAAATAAGTGTCTTTTGGCAACTGACAGTTTAGCAAATCCCATTAAAATATTACAATGGTTTCAGTAGAAGAAATAATAGGACAAGGATATTGCATAGTTGAAAATTTTATTGTAAGTACGAACGTAATGAAATTTTAGCACCAAAGTGTAGAATTTACGATATTTTCAAGTATGATATCCAACAATGATTATCTATGATACCTGGGTATGAGTAAAAATATATATTAAACTCTTTAAGAATGCCAGGCATTTATTTTGATCACCCATATGGCTAACCAGAGGTACTTTAATTAATGTAGAAATAGTTGCATTTGCTTTTGAACAAATGAAAATATTAGGTTGGCTGCCACTTGGAAATTTTTGGAGGACCTTGTGTAGTCCAATATTTCAGGAGAAGATTGATTGCTATGAATTTAAAGGCATTTTTTTTTTAAAAAAGTAGCAAATAGGTTTTCCATAATGCAACATGACATCTGTGTTGGATATGAGCTATTGAACTATGGAGATTCTCAGTTGTCCAGGTCATGGTTGTCCCAAAGATGCTTTTTCAAAAAACAATTGGACTTTATTTTTCTTGAAGACATTCTTGAGAAATGAAGTGACTTCAAGAAAAACAAAGCCCAAGTGCTTTTGGAAAGAGCAGCTTTGGAACTATGTGATCTATCTGACATTATGCCTTTTACATGGGTTAAAAACCCTTGAATTCCCAGATAACATGTGTAGAAATATGCTCTTTAAATTAAAAAAGCCTTGAATTCCCAGTTAACATTTATAGAAATGTGTTCTTTAAATAAAAAAAGCAGTCAACAAGATACACTTTCTTTCACTTTAAGAAATGACATTAGGATCAAGGAAAGGTACAACCAGTGACAAATTGTTGAAATTATTAACTACAACATACTTAAGAGAATATCAGTAGATGTCTGTACTGGCCTAACACAAATGTGGCTCAGAAAATTGATGCGATGCCTTAAGAATGTCTTGAATCATTGTTAAATACATAACATATTTTCTTATTCAATCTGATGCTTAAGCTGTCTTGTTAGAATGGAAAAAAACAAAAGTTTTAGTTTTGAAAAACAAATAGAGTGGGATTTGTATCCGCTTTGCAAGATAAAGCTACTGAATTTCACTGAAAATGATCCATTTTTTAAAATTGTTGTGGGGGGGGGGATGTATCTTTAACTTCAATGTATTGGACCACAATACCAAATTTTGGGCAGAAATGCAGAATGATTGTTATGAAAGAGAAAATTTAAATAATTTCCCAATAGTGTCAACCTAAGAACCTGTAAAATATGTTTGATCAGATATTATCAGAAACTGGGTATGTCTAGTTAAATAGAAAGAAGGACTAGGGGAGACATGATAGCAGTGTTCCAATATCTCAGGGGTTGCCACAAAGAAGAGGGAGTCAAACTATTTTCCAAGGCACCTGAGGGTAGAACAAGAAGCAATGGGTGGAAACTAATCAAGGAGAGAAGCAACTTAGAACCGAGGAGAAATTTCCTGACAGAACAATTAATCAGTGGAACAGAAGTTGCCTCCAGAAGTTGTGAATGCCCCAACAGTGGAAGTCTTTAAGAAGATGTTGGGTAGCCATTTGTCTGAAACGGTATAGGGCTTCCTGCCTAGGAAGGGGGTTGGACTAGAAGACCTCCAAGGTCCCTTCCAACTCTGCTGTTGTATTGTATCATATCTCTGGCTACTGCAGAGGAGATGGAGAAAT